TGCTAGAAACTTGTTTTCAGCTCTGCTAGAAACTTAGTATCTAACAAATGTGTGGACACGATAAGAAGAATCATCAACATCAGCATTATCATTGTCATCATCACTGTCATTGTCAACTTTCATATCAAATTTAACATCATCTCATGTTAATCAAGCATGTGTACAGTAATTGTATTGCTGGTGTTTTTGTTACTTTTATTATTTTTAAATTAATTTTTTAAAATTTTTTATTGCTTTTTTGTTAATATCATTATTTTAACTAATCAATCAATCAAACACATTTATATAGTACCCATTTCCATAATAAAGGTATGTTCAAATTATATGTTATTATTTTTTTATTTTATAGCGTACATTATCACTGAAACACAGCATGGAACATCAATGATATTTGGTGAGTACTGTACATAATAGGCAAATTATAGTACAAAAAATTCTTATTTAGACAGAAATATGACTCAATTCTAATAAAAATTTGCTTGTTGAACCTTTGGTCAGTTCCAATCTTCTTCTCTTCTTCTTAATGTGTTCCGTCTTGCGACAGTTTTTATTTTCGCTTTCGCACCACAAACCGTATGCATAAAAATTGCCAAAGCTAGAGCCAGTGGAATAGTAGCCTTCAACAATGAAATTTGCTCCTAAACTAAAGAGCCAGACTGACAATCTTGTTAACAATGCCAGTGTAGGTGGTCGTGTTTGAATTCTTTAATACTGAAAATTGACCAGGAAAAATATATTTTTAGCAATTTCACGTAGTTCGGATCAGAATCTTTCATTGGCTGCGAGTTGAATACTGGGGTTATAAAGGGTGACCCTTCCAGCATGTTCTAGAAGGTCAGCTGATATTCATGGGCCTTCTTAAATGAAATAAGGTGATGCGTTTAACAGCTTTATCTCTTCATAGGCTTAGAGAGTGGAGTTGTTTTTAGTTTTGAGAAAAAGTCCTGCTGTTACCGGGATTGAACCTAGGATCCTGGGAGTAGAAGGCAAGCACCTTAAACTAAGTTATCAACTCCACTGTGAGTGTTGTGTGATTGGAAAAAATAAAGCAGTATTAGCACGTTTACTGCCAGACCTTTTTTTTTAAGGTTCCTTCCTGTGTGTCGAAACAAGTTTACATGTACAAATATACTTTTTTGAAATTTTATCTAGTCATATATTATCAAAATGATGTGTCTAATAAATTGGTGGGAAATATTAGTGGGCGAGTATATTCGTCGACACACTGTGATAGAACGATAGAATGTTTCATTGATTATGCCAAGTGCGAGTTTTCTTGTCTGCTTTTTGAACGGGTTGGTATATGTTCAAAGGGCGCCCCCACTTGTGCCACTCGAGTGTACTACTGGCAACATAACATAAGAAACATACATGTGTCATTTGTATGTTATCGTCTTAGTGTATCCACCCCGAACCACAAACCGTTGAGTCTGTGGTTCTACAAATTATAACAAGGAAGTTATAAACGCTAGAATGTTACTCCGATTTTGGCAAGTATACTTGTCCCTGGCGCTCTCAGCAACGCCCAACACCCTGAGGGCGAGTATACTCATCGCTGGCAACCAACGTGTTAAAGAAACAACAGTAGGATATGATGGACTCAGTGAGCTGTTTCCAGAGTAGGCGCTCTTCTATATTGTTTGACTACCATGCCTCCTGATCTTTTAAAGTAAAATAAAACATGAAACATTTTTGTCTTGACAGAACGTCTACCAGACTTTGTTGTAAGGGCATTTGACCCCTTTGCATCACCAAGCACCAATTTTAAAATTGATATAATGTACCTGGGAGATGAAATAGCACCTAATATCTATATTGGTACATCACTGTCCTTTATAAGTTATGGCACTGAAGGAGTTGAGATTGTTCCATCTGCGTTGAATGGAATAAACTCAGACCTTCCTGATGTAATGGAAGTAAGTACAAGTAATTCTGGTGCATCTCGCCAGATGCGTATGGACAAAAGTGAAGATATCACCTTACAGATTGGAGAGTACTATGGCCGTTTGCAAGTTGGTGATAAGACCATAAAGAATCATGTAATCATTTTAAATAAGAATGGTAAGTCAAAGTGTTTAATCTTTCTTTAAAATTTTGATCTTAACAGTGACCATTGGTTGCTGTTGATGCTTGTACTCAATACTCAACTTGCATTTTTAACAGCTGTTGCCTTGAATGACGTTGCTACTTCCATTTCTTGTTGAACATTTCTTTTTGGACAGCCAGATCCATCAACAAGTAACGTGTCAAGGGTCAAGACACCAATTTCAAAGACAGTCACATTTTGTACTTCTAAAGCTTTGTCTCCACTATCAAATTTCATCAAAAAAGCGTCACATAAAATGTGATGGAACATAAGGGTTGAACACGTTCAACTTTTTTTTAAACAATTTGATAATATGTGATATGATGTCATCACGTTTTTTTGTCACATAAAATTTGATAGTGTAGACAAAGCTTAATTCTACTTTATTCAGCAAAAGATAAATATGAGTGCTAACATTGCAATCTATAGATGTTCTCAGCTGACACTGAGGATTACTTTGGCAATTTACGTGGCACAGGTGTTGTCAGAATAATTAACTGTTTATTCAGGATTTTGGAGACATGTACCCATTTTAATATTGTAAGGTGTTTTTTTATTGGGCAAATACAAATATAGTAAATTATTTCATAGGTATGAAAAAGGAGTGGCTGTTCTTTACCACTGGAATGTATCAGTTGATACAACTCATCCCTTATTATTCCCAACAAACCCTTACATTAAAATTCCTTGTGAGTAATTAAGCCTTTTCCTGTTTTCCAGTTAAGCTTTCTTGGTCATGTTTAAGGGTAATGAACTCAGCTGTTCATAAGCATTTCATGGGAAAATATAATAAGATAAAATAAATCTATGTATAAATTCTGCTAATCGCCTTCGCGTAAATTCACCTATCTCCTCTGAAACCGCTGGCAGGAATGTGCTCATCTTCCATACACTGGGGATTCTATATGTCATGAATAGGATAGGCTACTTTTCTACGTTGGATATTGGACAACAAGAAAAAAAACCAGCAAAAAACCACCGTAAGTCACATACCTGTTTCGCCATGTTTCACGACACGAACATGGAGGTTTAATTTAGGGTCGAGCACCTCCACCAATCAACACCTCAAATTTACGTGAACATGTCGGTTCAACAGGGTCGGATCCAGTAAGGGGGTTTGTGGGAAGATCAACAGGGGCAGATCCGTGTGAGAACATAGCCTTGGTCTCTAAAATTAGAATAATAAAGGTAAAGAGACTTTTGTTAATTTAGGACCACAGAAAAGTTACCTTTTGTCTTTAATTGGTGGGGTCTTTAATTAGAGGGAGACCTGTAATAAGAAAAAAAAAGTGAAATCTATTTTTCTTCTGCAATTATTTTGAAATGCATCAGCAAACGTTCAGGTGGATGCAACCCGGAGAACTGTAACAATTGGTTTGGGAGAAACAGTGACGCTGACTGTTTATGCAACAACAGCTGAAAATCTTCGTTGGAGACACAATAACAAATTTATGTACGGTGACTCAATGCGTAACGTAATGAATCTGACCATTGCGAATGCTCGACGAGAGGATGAGGGCGTGTACGAGTGTTATTATCAAGGAGAACGTTATCTTGGAAATCATGATTTTATGTATTTGTATGTCACAGGTATGTAGTTATTTTTTAATTAGATAGCTAGGCCTAGATGAAAGTTATATATTGTGATGGTCATGTTTGTTGAAGAAGGAAAGGAAAATCAAAGTCGATTTGTTTTTGCCCCATACATTTTGGTTGGTGTACCACAGGACAAAAGTCCTTGTTAAAATTTTGAATTTAATAAGCCTAAAATTGAGCCTTTTGAAATAGTGTATTATAGCTGTACAAGTACTTTAGGCTCCTAATTGGAATCCGTATTCCGTTGAAAATTTGATTGTTGAAAAAGGGGCCTTTTTTAAAAAGCTTTGAAGAAAAACATAATTCTATATTTTATTACAGAATGCCCAACGTCTTATTGTGGTATCCCGTCGTGTGCTCTAAGCTGTCCGATTTGCTACAATGGTGGACAGTGTGAAGCCAGATCTTGCACCTGTATCTGCCCACCTGGATTTACTGGAAAGTTCTGCGAGACAGGTGAAAAACATATTTTCTCTTTAAAAATTTAAAAATTTACATGTGGATGTGCTGGAAACATTTCGATAAATGATATTACCAAAATGTTTTTGATAAAAATCTGTAAACATTTTTGATCTGGGTATTATTGGAATTCAATAATTTATTTGATTCTAAATGTATTTCAATATCATTTTTGAGGTTTCAAGATTTTATCACATAGAGTTTACTGTATTCAAATACTTAATACTGTATAACGTTTGCGAATGTTGTGCTTTGGTATGTCACAAAATAACGTTGTAGGAACGTTCAAACGTTATGACCTGAAATTTTGTTATGTATGTAATTATGGTTCTACAAGATATAACATTTTTAAAACCAAGCTGTGACGTTATTATAACGTTCTTATAACGTAATACTGTCAGCTGGGATGCAATATGTTCAAGATTCAAGATTCAAGAAACTTTATGGTCTTTAATACATACCGGTAATAAAATATAAACAGAAAATTGAATTACGCGGGGAGATTTAAAAGTTTAGAAAGAAATTTAAATAAACACCACATACACGTTCAATAAAAATAGTTTTAAATATAGACATAAAAGGAGAATAAAAACGTGAAGAAATTTTGAAGTATAGTAAGATCTTAGAAATCTTTTCTAACTGTTCAAAGTGGTAAAAATTGCATTATTTAATTAAAACCTAGTAACACATAGATTAAAAAAGATGGATACTATTTGGTACATATATCTACAAAGTAATTATCTTGTAGTTTCCACTAACATTTGACATGAGCATATGGACGTTTCCTAAAATACGACCAACATAACACAACATGTATTTTTAACACTCTGACCGCCAGGGGTTTAAAAAAATAGTATCAGATGCCGCCAGACATTTTAGCGAATTTTAACACATTTCCGAAGCTCGTTGAGAGTTTGTATGTGATCAGATTGACATGTAATAAATACTACAAACATCTTAGCTTTACAATGGCACCAAACACTTTACTCTAATGACAAATCTGTGACCCGTAACAGTAAAATGAATATGACTCACTTTTGGAGATTTACGCAATTTTGCACAACGAAGCTGAGATAATCGCTATGTACATCAATACCGCTATGCTCAATGTAAACAAACAAATAGTAAAATAATTACGGTCCAGAATGAATATAGTGTTCAAATTGTTAGTACATGTCGGTACCGGTAATTACCCCATCTATCGGATTCCGTAAAAAAAAACATGAAACACGGAGATATCCGCGTTTGGCGGTCAAGTGTTGTGTTCACCAAACACGGAGATCTCTGTGTTAGGCGGGCAGAGTGTTAATTAGCTTCAGAATGGTAGATTGGGTTTAAATTAGTTTTCCATAATTCATCAAGAGCATCGATTTTGAGGTATCTCAGTTTGGACAAGTTATGCATGACCACACACAGTAAACCATTAGAGATGCTCTTATAAACATATAGTCCAGGTTCACACTAGAGCATTCTGATCCTGATCAGAAGCTAACCGATAGCACTGCGTGTGAGGGCCCCCGATCGGGATAATCTATGAAACAACAATGCAGGTGGCACGGAAGTAGACCGTTAGGTGTTGTGTGTTGACATTGCCATTACGGTAAATAGTAAAATAAATTTAACTGGATTGCTGTTAATATTTGTAGAATTTTATTTTGGATGATCCAAGTAATAGAAAAAAAAATTGACATTAGTTATGTTCAGATGACTTTCCGTCTGAAGTATAGTTACGACAGTTACGACAATTGTCAAATTGTACGCTTGCATTACTTCCGACGAGTGTCCATACGATGCTTATCCAGGACAACTAGTTCAAAGCTTAGAAGTAGCTATGCAAATTTTCCGGAAGTGATAGTTACCACTTCGCTGTCTCTTAACGGTTATTTTGCTCACAATTTTTTGAAATTGTAAACAATTTAGAAAAAATCGTGTCTACAAAGGATTACACATCACAGGAAATGTTATTTTGGCACTCATTTGTAGGTAATAATCTTTTGAAAAAAATTCAGGTCATGAATTGGTCGCATTTACGTGCGAGCTCTGAAGTGCATCTACACAGCGCTTGTGTACGCGGAAGTAGCACACTTACTCCTTAGACTTCTCAAGAGTAAATCGTCTGTAGTAAGGTTGAATTAACTTAATACAAGGAGCGTCTTCACAGGCACTACCCAGGGCTTACAAAAAGTAAACTGCTACTTCAAAGCTTACTTCTGCCTAGTCTGAACTTGCCTATTCATGTAAACAAACGTGACGCATTAACATTTCCATGAAATCTTGTTATAGCGCCATCTTTCAGATAAATTCAAACAGTAGGGTTGGGGGGGTTGTGTCCCTCAGAATATTTTTGTAAAGTTTTGGTAGGTCATTCATCTTTCTATTCATAGTATTGCCATGCTTTCTTATTTTTTAATTCTCTTGTTTTTTTCTGTCTTTCTGTGTTGTTTCTTTGACCAGTATTTTTATGTTAAAGTTTGGGAGGTGTGTTTGTGCAGTCATGTTTTCAGTAACCTGGTTAGAGTGGCTGTGCAGTGTGATACATGTACATCTGTTTTATGTTCTTTTATTCTTGTACCTTAAGCTGGGTTTTCCACTAGACAAATTTATTCGCCCGAATCAAAGCGTCGGTTCGCTTCCTGAGCTCTGATTGGTTGCGCATTTTTTTCGCTTCGCAAAAGTCTGAGAAGGATGTGAATGCGCATGAACCGACGCTTTCGATTCGCGCGAATAAATTTGCCTAGTGGAAAACCGGCTTGAAGCCCTGTCCAGACTATCAAATAATTATCATTTGACAAAAATCTGTTTTATGTCTATATATACAGTAGTCATGATGTGCCTTTTATTTAATCATGATGTGATGTCATCATGACCATATTTAGGCATGTCACATGTTTTTGTCAAATAAAATTTGATAGTCTGGACAGGCCTTCAAATCTGCACCAAAGCCCTGTTCAGACTACAAAATTTCATTTGACACAAACATGCTTAAACATGACCTTATATAGGACCTTTGTGACCATATTATATAGGAACATCATGACTTTACATGGGAACATCATGATTGTGAGAACATCATGAATATATATGGGCATACAACAGCTTTTTTTGTGAAAAAATATTGATAATCTGGACAAAAGCTTAATAATAATAGGCCTAGATTGATTTTCTTGATTTTGATCTTCAGGAGTAAGTGATAAGTGCATGGGTATTGAGGACTGTAACATACACAGTGAAAAAGCGCAACTAATTTGTTACCCATCACCAGTTGGTTGTACTTGTACAGCAGGATGGACAGGTTATGATTGCAAAACAAGTAAGTAAATCACTACCATTGTTGCCATTTTGAAACCAGAGTTGTTTCCTTAGCTTCTTAGTCCCAATTCCAAACTTGATGTTTAATATTTTAACCCACTTTAGTGGAACTAATTTGTTGCCATATACAGAATACAGAATACAAAATGTTTATTGGTCTTGAAAGTAAAAATACAATACAAGAAATATGGGAGATATAAAATATGGGAAATATATGGGAGTGGTACAGTAGGTGTGTGCGTTGGCACCCCTGCACCTCCACGCCTACGCAGACAACTATACTTTGGTCTATTTGCAGAGTGTGAACAACCATATTATGGGGCAAACTGTTTGCAGAAATGTCACTGTTTGACAGACTGTCACCCAGTTACTGGATGTGCCAGCTCCTCACCATGTGTACCTGGGTTTACAGGAATAACTTGTATAGGTATGTGCCATGATGTCTGTGATTTCTTGGTTTTATTTATGGTCAAGATGAAGGTCAAGTATACACTGTCGGGGCCTTAGCCACAGAGAAAAAAAAAACATGCTGAGGCAAATCAACACATTGGTGATGAGGGTTGATGGGGCGATGCAAGCACTGGGCATTGAAGCGTGGGGTTCAGGTGTGCTCGAGGGCCTTAAGTTTTTTTAATTTTTAGACACTCTAAGATGGTTTTTCAACCATTTTCAGGTCCCATGTCCCAAAAGCAATATACAATTGTTTTCACTGATTTATTGTTTTCTACAAAAATCCATTAATTGATTATTGAGTAAGTTAAAGAGTCTGAAAATTAATACAGAAAGGGTATTTTAACTGTCTGTTATATTCCATGCTTTATTCAACGTTTTCACGATCTTGCAAGTGGTTTGTGTGGAAATCGAAACCATGGCACTGTTTGCTAGCGTTGATTTTAATCCCAAGTAGCAAGCAGGTATCATGTACCGGGGTATTGAAAATTTATAATATATTACGCATTTCAATATAATGTATAATTTCGAGTCCATAGTGTATTATTGAATTTCATGTTCATATACATCAAAAAGTTCCTTCACACCAAATTGTCACTTTTTAAGCTTAAGAAAAAGTTCATGAGCATAAATTATATCAATGCAATATAGCAATCATTCACCAAAATACATATTTCAATGCATGAATACATATATGTACACAACATGATTAAATCCAACCGTGAATCTAAGGGTTTCCCTTGTCAGCTATCCTGACATTAACGTCGATGCGCGTCCATGTCAATTTTCAACTGTACACAAGATTTTCTCCAATACGGTGAATCAGAATCCCACAACGATTCCACTTCTGACACCAAAATCTGTGGTAGTTTATGTTGACTGAACAAACAAGACCACGACACCATAACGTTCCAGGTTCTTTTAATCGTCAATGTTTAAGAGATTCACGATCACTAATCACATCTATCATCTGTCGATGTGTATACATCAACACAACAAACAAAAACCCCTGGATTTAAACAAAAACTAAGTTTGGAGGAACACAACCATCGTTAGCCGCCTACGGTACATACAGTACCATACAACAGTATTCAATCTAAGAATGAACCATTATAATTATTAGCAATGTAAAGATAATGAAAATATTCAAATACAAAACGAGTCCAATAATACACTCTACAGCTTCACACACAGCTGTACCATTGTGGCATGCATACCTATCATCCACTAACAACATTTCTCAGTTGCAAACTCGAGAAATACTACTTAATGCTGATATTATCGGATCAATTATAAATAAATCATATTATCAAACATCGCTAAAGATATCGCAATGTATAGCGTTACTATTATCAAGATACAATATCAATATAACAATTCATTATACATACCTGTAAACTTATTTAATTAAGTTTACGTTGCTAAACCGGCAAACCGTACTGTAATGATGGATGTGTTCAACAACTAGCAACCACTTGAAAACCACTATATACCCAGACAAGCAAGATCATTACGCGCATACAGTATTACGTAACATTCAGACAGCTTAATTAAGTACTACATGGATGCAATAATTCGCGGTGCAATTACTACGCGCCAAGAAAGAGGTAAACACGTTTACTCGCTTTTCCACTGGTAACATTATTAAAGTATATACATGGAAACAGTGTTATCATATCATTGAGTGTTAAATTTTGAGTTTAATTATTTTTACCTAGAATATGAGGCAGACACTCCCTGTCCAATTGGATACTTTGGAGAACAGTGTCATAAGAAATGTCACTGTGACAATCAGGAAAACTGCACTAAAACTGATGGTGGATGCGAGACTGGATGCCAGATGGGCTGGGCAGGAGAAGGCTGTCAAATAGGTTTGTAAATATATCAATCTCGTACTAAAGCTCTGATCCACACTATCAAATTTTATGTGACAAATTTGTGTGATGTGCCCATATATGGCCATGATGATATATAACTCCCAAATATGGGCATATCACAGTTTTTTGTTACATAAACTTTGAGAGAGTAGACAGAGCTTAAGTGTGTGAATTGTTATCAATAGTGCATTATGGTGAAGCAAGATGGCTATTGAATAGGTTTGTAAATCCATGGACATTTATCCGTAAAGCCATGGGTGGCGCCAGGATTTGCCCGACGGGATGCCTGAGGTCCCCGGTGGGTGCAAAGCGGTCATGGTTAGGCGTCGCTCAAAATATTTTGAAAGTGGTCCAGGGATCAAAGCCCAGGAAAATATGACGATTTAGGGGTTTTTCAAGGGCTTATTTAATAAAATTTAGAGTCTACTAAGATGTATAAAATACATATAATATTTTTTTTCATTCTGACAAAATGTGGTTTTCATTACGATAACATTTTGTGCTAAAAATTGAATACACACCAGTAAATGTTGTCAGAAACCCCTATAATATAATTTTTCGACTTCTTCTTGTAATAACGTTGCTCATACCGGATTGTTTTTTTTTTTTTTGAGAAAGGATAAAAGAATCAGAATTTAATAACCTTTACAACGATTATAAAATTTTAATTGAATCCATATCATATTCATTGGACACACTCATGTTTTTTTTCAGCGTAAAAACTGTAAAATCGGCCAAAATCGCCTAGCTGTCTTTAATATAATTCCCTCTAGCGGTGAAAGTAGCAAGTCGATTTTCTTGGGAAAAACTTCATTTGGAAAGCATTATTTTTCTTCTAAATCATATCTAAACATAAATTTGATTGGTTCAGTAGTTTTATCAGACCAATCAGATTTATGAAGTCCATTGAAAACTCCTCCCTAGATGCTTATGCATTACAAGCATATGACCATCTGATTCTCACATGGATTCTGCGCTCTCTAAAATATCAGGCAATATTACTACATTATCCATATTTTCAAAGATTGTGATCATAGGCTCGAGATAGAGATCCTTGTCATGTAATTTTTAAGCAATAAAGATTTTTTTTTTTTTTGGTACAAGCAGTTTATAAATGTCAGTTTTTGTAAAAAAACAAAACGGTTTTCTGAGCTATTCACACCGTCGCTGCTGAGATGAGCTGTACGATTCCATTTTCTAATGTGTTAGGCTACTGCATGTGTGAGTGGGATGGAGAATTGTAGTGTGTGCTGGGCTTGTTGTGGTACTGTATTTTGATAACAAGTATTATATATTTGTATTGAAATATGAAATGAACTGTTCCAAATAAATATTCGCGCTTGACGCATAGTCCACAGTGCGCGTCAGACCCCCCCCCCACTTTCGGACCGCAAGGGGGTCCGAAAGGGGGGGTCCAAATGTGGGGCTGATCGAGATAACACCACCCTTAGAGAAATTTTTGTTTTCTAGGAGCCAAAAAATAACATCTGAGGCCTTTTGGGCAATTAATTTTTTCTTTTTCTTTCTTTCGTCTTTTTTTTTCTTTTACTTTCCAGGGGGGGGGGGCAGGGATCCCCTTCCCCCTAATCCGCCCCTGAATCCCAGGGTCATTTTCCTGTCAGTGTTGCAGGATTTTTCTCACGACAAAAACAACTCAACTCCCTAGGCCTTAAGATTTAGTTTGTGTAAAGCTTTGTGTTTGTCTTGAGAAAGGAATTTTCACCTACTCTTAGGACAGTGATGTATTCGCTATTTGCTATCCTTGGCGCATGTGTGTGTGCCTAAAAAATAAATAAATAAATAAAGTAAGTCCTTATCAATGCAAAATGATGTAAAATCGGATAGAAAATTGGGCAGATGGGTTGAGAAGGTAAAAGCTGTCAATAATATGTAAATCGTTATTAATTTACTTCTTTATTATGAACTGTATTGAAATCCAATAATGAATAAAAGAATATTTATAAAGACTGTTAAATAGGCAGCATATACATATATATGACTTTTAGCTATTAATTTTTCAAATTTTATCTCTAGCTTTACCAGCTCTATATGATTCCCCATTGATTGTGGCTCGAGAACAGGATAGTGTAAGCATTAGCTGGAGAAATTGGATGTACGACCATGACTTTGGCGTTGGCCCAATAGTCAACTACAGAATCTACCTGTGGGATTCGTGGTACCCAGCATTTAATGCAGTTCCAGCATTGGTGGGGGTCACAAATACGACGATGTGGAATGTGACGGGATTGCAGGAGTCATCAGAATACTCGATCATGGTTCAAGTCACTAGACGAGTTAATGGCTTCCTTGTTGCAGGCAAACCAAGCCCCATTCTTTGGATCTCAGTGTACGGTATGTATATATTTTGATATTTAAATTGTTGTCCTCTCCTCTTTCTCCTCTGGTTAGAATTTTAGCTACACTGCTGTAAGTTGCTGATAAGTTGTTGAATTCATTAACAGTTTTTTTTAGTCCGACAGCATTATCGTAGCGTACGGCAGGGGATCCCATAGTGGCGGAGCTAGGACTTTGATATAGAGGGAGCCCTGGGGAGGAACTTTCATACATGGAGAGTTTAGACCACCTCAGCCCCACTATTGTTCAAGAGATAAAAACATTTATTATTATGGCACCTCTAGATGGCCCGAAATGGCACTCTTAGACCTAAATTTGATTATTATTTCCCTTTTTTTCTCCATTTTTTTTTTTATACTTTTGAATAATTTAGTGTGGGCCCAGGCCAGCCGTCCACCCCACTCTTCAATCCGCCACTGTCCCATAAGTGGATTCTTCCAACTTGAGACCCCTTATATTGAGTCTTTGTTTTAGAAATATTGTTACTAAACATATTAATTTTATTTTTAATTTATTTGTTTTCAGAGCAATGTCAATCGGGTTGGATGAGTTTTGAAAATCAATGTTTTCATGTTGTTGATACAATGATGTCATGGGATGAAGCTGACACATACTGCAAGACAAGAAAATCACATTTAGTTCACTTCACTTCCGCCAAAATCAAGCTCTTTGTACTGCACATGCTGGAAGTGCAACAAATCAATTCAACCCACGTGCTGGTCGGAATGAATGACAAGGATAACGAGAACGCTTTTGTCTGGGGTAGTTACAGTAATTATAATTCCCGAGTGTCTGATTCTGCCAATATACCAGGTAAGAAATAAAAGTAGGTTGCTGAATGAAGGTGAAGGTATATTTAACTTAGTAATTTGCAATTCAGTGCCTTAATTGCTTACTTAAAAGGAGTTAGCTTAGTTGAGTCTGCTAAAACTGCATGGTGGTAGCAGCTGTGTGTGGGCACAAATGGAGATCTCTTTGTCCCTGGTTCAATTCCCATCGCTGCTGTCCTTGTGTTTTAGCTGGAGGGCTGAATGCAGTTTACGATAGAACACCATCTTTCGGATAAGATGTTTAAGCCGTTGGTCCTATGTGCATTATGGCCCATGCCCGTTTAAGAACAGAGTACACTCTTCGGAAAAAGGTAGGGGATTGTCTCCCGGTGTACTGTCCAATTACCACCAGAAGGACCCACTGAAAATAAGTGTTCTTCAGACTTTCTTGGGTTATCCTTGGTGTTTACAACGAATAAATTATTCTATCCATCCATCCATCATCATCACCATCATCATCACATACTAGCCAGCCCCGATTTTTGTTCTTGTTATAGAATGGCATTATTTCCAGTCTGATGCTGCTGACTATGATTGCGTTGCGGTGAATATTTATGCCGATTTTTCGCTAGAGAACATTCTGTGTGATGATGCAGACATAGGCATTCCTATCTGTCAAGGTAGGTGATTTAAAGGAAATTTACATAGATGGAGCATACAATGGAATTATTCCAAATAACACATTAAAACCTTTTTCATGCTACAAAATAGCACTCCACACTATGTTACATACTATAGTTACAGCCTACATCAACACGGTTTGAGACCCTCTTTGCCCAGGATTTAATTGATAGAACCAAAAAAACTCCCCCACCCCTGTCACCTCGCTATTGAAAATTTTTGAAGCAAAATAATCACGCTTAAGTAGTTAAAAATCACTTTATTTTACGACCTAGTGCCCCCCCCCACTTGATCATCTAGCACTTCAACTTCACGCCCCATCGGCACTCCCCCCATTTCAAAACTCCTATGTATACAACTGGAAGTTAAAGCTACTATGCTTCTAGAGTATAGTAGTGACAGACTATACCTTTGCACAATTCAGCACAATGACACTGCAAGTTATAACTTATTTCCCCAACTTTCCCTGTTTCAAGTATTATTTTTTTTACCATCATTATGTAATATGATTGTTATTCTTTGTAAATAAATCAGTATTTTTACCTTAGACAGGACGTCAATCATATTACACGAATTGAAACCAGATGAAATTATTTGATAATCATTAATATTGTTTTCATTATTTCTATATTTGAAACAATAATTATATAATAACTATATTATTTTATAAATGTTCATAAATGTCTCAAACCATTCTAGCCTTTACTTCACCTGGATGGGTTCCTCACGAATCTTCGTATTACTACTTCAATTCGACTCCAGTAACTTGGGAGGAAGCTGAATCTATTTGCCGTGATACTGGTGGAAACTTGGTTGTGATTGGCTCAGAGGAGGAGAATGAGTTTGTGATGCAGTCATTCCAAGAACTAGACACAGATGTCAGTCAAGTTTCCATTGGTTACCATCATAGAAACATTAAACATTTTTTTGAATGGGTCGGGACCAATGAATGGAGTGTCTATGAGAGTAAGTCAACAATCCATTGAACTTTCTCTTTAATTTTTTAATGCATATCATATTGGATCATCATTCTTAAGAAGTGAAAAATTAAGAATAATTGAGGTTATTATTATTATAGTTCTACTCACCTTTAATTCTTAGTCAAAATTTCCAATATTGTAGTTATGGTAGCATTAGAAACAATTAATAAGGGGGTACCTTCAGGACCAGAAAAAGGAAAAGATATTCCTTTCCTCATTTTGTGGTCGAAAAAGTGTCCTCATATTAGGAGTGTCCCGAAGATGGGGTTCTACTGTATTAATATTTATAATAACTATTTATAGGCCAATTTAAGAAAATGATGACCATGAAGTTGAAAGTGAGAATAATGATGGTAAAAATGAGGATGATGATAATAATGATGGTAATGATAATAAAATTAATAATAATAAAGATGTTGATGGTGATCATGATGATGACGAGGTTGAGGATGCAGATAGCGGCTGCAATGGTGGTGAGACTATGGCAGCATACTCATAAGGTATGCTCAGTTGGCTAAACTAGTGGTAGCCACTGTGTGTGCGCTGAAGTGTGAAGATCTATTGGTCCCCGGTTCAATTCCCATCGCTGCCTCTCCTTGTGTTTCAGCTGGAGGGCTGGAATGCAATCTTTGGGATGAGACGTTTAAGCCGTTGGTCCTGTGTGCAAAATGGCCCATGTGCACATTAAAGAAAGCAGTACACTCTTCAGAAAAGAGTAGGGGATTGTCTCCCGGTGTACTGCCCAATCACCATCAGAAGGACCCCACTGGAAGTCAGACTTCAGACTTTTGTGGGCTATCCTTGGTGTTCACATCGAATAACTCCAATCAATCCAATCTATTCTTTTTTAAAGCTCTGTGCACACACAAAAAAACTTATATGGCCATATATAGTCATGATATGCCTATAAATGGTCATGATGTGATGTCATCATGACCATATTTGGGCATGTCGCATGCTTTTGTCAAATAAAACTTGATAGTCTGGACAGAGCTTTAGTAGGCCGACTTAATTTCTGAGATCGCAGATAAAAAAAATCTCTGTATTTAATGTTTTCTTTTAGATTTTGACTCAGATCCTGGTTCTGTTGGTCGCTGTGTTGTGTTATCAGTTCCCAACGGAAGATGGCTAGTAGTTCCATGTGATACATCCCCTGGCGGAGTCATTTGCGAAATGTGTAGGAACAGTACAAAATATGTTTATATAAATATATATATACAGTATGCCTTTTTGACTGCCACTATAACAGTATAATTTTGTACTTGTTTTGAAGTAAAGTTGACTTATTCATTGATTTCACTATACTTTCCGCTGTGACATCTCTATCTAACATACCTTAGCGCCGTTATGCGATGGCATTTTTTAGTTGTATAAGTGTGTGTGTATATATATATATATGTGTATGTGTATATATGTATGGCGAGCGTCATAACCACTAGACCACGAAGGCTTCATGGTTGAACAGGTCCAAATAACCGTCGGGAACATTGTATTACACAATGGTACTCCTCAAGAGGGCTTTCGGCCAGATAAATCTGGAGATGACGGCTAGAAATAAATACTGTCGTATATAGTATATGATATTGAAGGAACTTAGCCGTTAACACTGTTGAATACTTTTTATAGGACTTTTATTAAACACTATATGTACCTTTGATGATTTATATCGTAGATATTGATGAGTGTTCAAGCTATCCATGCCAGAATAACGGTACATGTGTGGATGGTAGAGAACGTTACAACTGCAACTGCGAACCAGGGTGGTCAGGCACAGTATGTGACGAAGGTAAATTGACTGAGTTTACTGAGGGCATTCTCCGAGAAACAGAAAGAAATCAACATGCCCACTTGTATATAAATTTAATCGAATCCAAACATATTTATATTATTGTTATTGTTATTATGCTATCATTGAAATACATTCTGAACCTCCTTCCCCATATTTACTTGATATGTCTGCTCCATACTGTACAGTAATTTGATGAAACAAATGATAATTAAAATATGTTAAATTGAGTGTATTCAAGTCTAATACATTATCAAATAGCATTGACCACCACCTCAGAGGTTGGGTCTGAAGCGGGCACTTACTGCATTCAACAGATGTCGGTCGACGTGATTCTATGAAGAACCCAATGCCACAATGCGCTCGCAATGTATCAATTTTAATGACGATTCGTACATTCACAGGGAGTAGTGTTGGATTTGTACGACGCAGTGCCCAGCTTAAATGTGAGGAAATTGTTAGAAAACAAATGACTTGTAGATGCCCAGAAACTATTAGTTTCATATTTCAAAACATTCAGTGGCAGATTCAAGAGTTTTCCAGCCATCTTGGACACCCCTCCCCCAACAAATTTGTAAAAAAATTTTTAAAAATGGTTAAAAAAAATTCTAATATTCTGAGAATTATAAAACTGAGAGTTCAATTTCATAATCATAAGTTCTCTTACCTCTGCCCCAGCCATGGTGGGGCTGAGGTGGTCTAAACTCTGTGATCATAATTTTATCATAAGTAAAAAAGTGAGGGATCTTAAGCCGCTGCGCTTCCCCTTTGCCTATGTCCTTGGATAGAACTTACTGGAGTGTCGGTCTAACGCTCAAGTAAATAAAAATCACCTAATATTACCATATTTTGCAACCTGTGTCCCCCTTACACACTCATCGATTCCCTACTTTACCCTCCATCAGGCCCCCATTTTCGATATTACTAGATATGCCACTGGCAGGAAACCAAAAACAGAATCCAAAATATTTAACTAAGTGTAGCTAAATATTCATTCATATTCACCTCAAATAACAGAAATCGGTATGATACGCCCTCATCTTAATAATATATATTGACAAGGTGGGATGTCAGATGATTTTTGCCAACTAGTGCCCCCCTCACTTTATCATCCAGCCCTCCCACTTCACTTCGGCGCCCCCTCACATTTGGTTGTGTCTGGTTTCTTTGGTAGTGCCATGAAAATTGATTTTAGAAAAGCAATCTAATCTGTTAATTTTATCATTATGCCATCGTGTTTGAGGACAAGATTGCTATCAGCGTCTTCATTCTCACGATATATGTCTGTAATCAGTGGTATATTGAGGAGGAAGCTTGGGAAATTAAAAGTATGAAACGTTTTTGGAAAAGTGATGGGAAAATTCGTGAAATTTATGTTTTTAGAATCATTATCACAACTCACAATCATCATTCATCATCATCACTCACCATCATCATCACCTCCATCATCATAACCATCGTTAATATCATTATTGTTTTATTGGTGATCCGCTCCGCTAGCGGATCACCTCCTGTTATAGTCAGATCTTTTTTTTTTTAATTCTAGCTTCTCCCCATTTCTTGTTAGCACGATATCTAAAAATTGGCACGAGATTCATGCGTGCACGCTTCAACAAACATTTAGCTTGGCCTGGAATAGTCACAATAAGGTTTTCAAAGTCCACAGTTATGCGTGACGTCATCTACGCGCAATTTTGCGTTTTTACATTATCGATCATATCAGCTTAACCAATTGCCATTTCGAAATCGTATTAAGTGAGCATTAACTTCGGGTTAATGTTAAATGTACTGTACCTTAATTTTACGTGTGTGCTCCATTACGTGCGCGTACGCGTGCGTCAAATTTTTCAAAATGCTCAAAATCACTTTTTGACTAAATTAGAACACGTTTCAGGCCATTTTGAGCATTTCAAATTTTTTTGAAATTTTCCTCTACGCGCGCTCATTTTTACGCGCGCAGCACGTACGGAAGCTAGACATTATGTTTTTTCACATAGTTTAGGTTCCTGACATGGTTTTCACAAATTTCAATTCTTTTTGGTCATCTTATGGCCAATAGCAATGCCGTATGTGCGCATCAAACATAAGTATCTTTGCGCGGATTTGTGCCGATATACTGTACAGTGAAAATATGCTAAAATCAGGCCTATTTTTAATCAGTTATAGCTCCTTAGGATGAAAGGTGACCTCCAATTTTTATTACATATTCTGAAAGCACATAAGTTGATATGATTTTATAGATCATAATGGCTGATCGGACATTGTGACATCATCATATTGGCATCTGAATTCAAAGAAAGTGTATTTTAGCTATCACATCATTTTTGAAAATACGCATTTGAGCGTATCTCGCTTATCCTTGATCGATCGTCTTCCAACTTTGAGTATTTTATAACTGAGACAATTCTCTTTCATACATTTGACTTCTTTTTACATTTTGATAACGTCATCGTGGTCAAAAAAATTGTTTTTTCTTACCCCCACATCTTTCTTTCCTCAAAACGTTGATGAGCCCATATCATCTTAACCATTCGTCATTTCTGAATCATATTAAGTGAGCATAATCTTCAGGTCAAGGTTGAATGTCATGTAGCTTAATTTTCCGTTCGCGCTTTTAATCGTGCATGTACGTGTGTGTCAAAATTTATATATGCTTAAAACCATATATATATTATGAAAGGATGAAAGGTGATCCCCAATTTTTATTACATATTCTGAAAGCATGTGAGTTGTAGATATGATTTTATAGATCATTATGGCTGATCGGACATTGTGACGTCGTCATATTGCCATCTGAATTCAAAAAACTGAATTTTTATATATGGTAAATATTATGAATGATAATAAGTTACTCACCAAAACAGGCGTTTGTCAATGAGAGTTGATACATATATCTCTCATGAGTGAACATTTCGTGACATTACTATGCGCACGTGCGTCATGGCGTGCGCATACGCATAAATAAATCTTTTAAAATGCTTCATATTCTTTAAAAGAATGTATTAGCGTATACTTTGGGCCATTTTCAGCATTTAAAAATTGTTCAATCTGCACCGCGCACACTTCCTCGAGGTTAAAATTGCGGCGGATCACCTAACTCGTCCTCAGTGACGAGTTCAAATCTAGTTTTGTATTCAAAATTTTTATAAAAATTTTAAAATTTTGTTTAAATGCAAACAATTAATTATATCTCAGACCTAAGATTATGTTGCATGTTTTTCAATTCTCATTTCAGATATTGATGAGTGTGCCAGCAATCCATGCCATAATAATGGTACGTGTGTGGATGGTGCAAACCGGTACAACTGCACCTGCGAACTTGGATGGTCAGGCATTGTATGTGACGAAGGTAAACGAACTTCTCTTGCACACACCCCCTACTGCCAAATCCTGCATTGGCCCCAGGATCAGTATGACTATTATCAAAATACAATACATTTTACATTTAGTTTGAAATACAACAGTAAGTCTTACACAAAATGTGTGTATGGGCTGGCCAGTGGTGTATACGGGCTCACCAAAATTCTGTGTACGAGTTGGCATGTGTACGAGTAACCTAAATCTGGGCTCGGAATAATTCATTAGGCCTTGCTCCGCCGAGCAATTTAGGCTACCCGGTAGCCTAACTCCAGCACTCTATCCTCTACCCGTTCAATAGAATCTTGGCCTATATATGTGTCTGACAAGCCCTCATCCAGATCGGTAACCCGACTCTGGTTCTACAGGTACTGCACGTATCATTGGATCTGTCATCTTTGGCCTAGGCTTAAGTGGTTTACAGGTATCTATCAAAGACTTCATTTCTGGCTCTCGTTCACGTTCTGTCATCATGACACTGGGGCAGCGTGACCACTCACAATTTTTGTAATACCCAATGAATGGGTAGAAATTACCCAAGATTCAGCAAAAATTGCCCAAAATTACCCAAGCTTCCTGAAAATGCATTAAAGTTTGAAAAATGTGTGTTTTTCGCATGTATAATTTCCCTTTTAGTTCAATCTATAAACCATTTTTTATTATAATTGTTTGTGTTAATTATTAAAATAAATATTCATGAGGTGATAATACGGATAGAAAATACGCCCTCAGTCAGCCAGTGTTATCAGTGTAGACCATTGATCAAGTTTTATTATGTAATGCATTAATTAGGTAAGATCAATGGCAACGAAAATCACAAATAAACAATTCTGAACCCATGTTTATAGCAATTAACAGTCAATTAAGAATGTTATGTGCACTTCGTTGAGTTTTGCTTACTTGAATGGACTGAAATATACTTTGTTACTTCTTAATTTTTCCTCTATGACAAAAATATTGAATTTTCTTAGTAAAAATAAAATACCCAAGGATTTGAACGGAATACCCAAGAACCCAAGACCAAGTCAAAATACCCAAGATCTTGGGTAAATACCCAAGCAGTGGTCACGCTGCACTGGGGTGAAAAACGATCGGGCCCAGATGTTAATAATCACCAGATACAATTGATTGTTTATCCGCAGAGCCAACAGACTCGTTTATTAATGATTATCGCATAAATCAGAGAACTTGTAGTTGTACACAATATCCAATAGTCTAGAATTAGGCCTATCTATTCCTTGGAAATGTCTTTATTCTAACAAGTCAGATATCAAGTGCAGTAACTCTTATCTTAACTAGTGGCCTGTAAATGTACAAACATTCCATCCCTAAACTCTTCTCGTGGAAGGACCATGAGGCGAGGGAGAGAAGGCCCAGCCCGCCTTGGGAGCAGCAGTAGCGCTGGCAGGATTTTATTCCCAGACTAGCACTTGCATAGGGACACCATCAGCCAATCAGACTGACGGACTAATAACTAAGTATTTCAGGGCTGTCCCATTAATTTAAACCTATTGCCCAGAGCTGTTACAACAGAAGAAGTAATTTTGTTACAATATAATAACTTTTTTTAGAGCCCTGCTTTGATCCTCTTGGAGTTGAAGATGGTACCATTCCTTCAGACCAACTGACTGCATCAAGTCAATATAGAACCGACCTTCGGCCTGACCGTGGTAGACTAAACACTGTAATAGAAGGTTCATTAAGGGGAAGCTGGACAGCATTAAATCAGAATCAGAATCAGTGGATACAAGCTGATTTTGGCTCGTCAAAGTTCATAACCGGAGTGATCACACAAGGCCGCAGTGACGGTAATCAATGGGTGACATCATATAAAGTTGATTACAGTGTCGATGGTACTAGTTTTAACACAATTATTGATGCCAATTCTGCACATGTAGTAAGTTTTAATTACTTATGACTTTGTACTTCATGTTAAACATTTATGTAGACTGGGTTCCAGTCTCTAATCTTTGTCTTAATCAGTAAAAAAGCTGGAAAAATCGATTTTGGCACCAATGGCGTTCCATATTACCTATTTGCTTGGCGTTTCATAGTATAGTACAAAAAAGTTTCTCGACATAAATTGACGCTGATGGCGCTTTCCGAAATGTGCTAATACTACGAATAATCAAGAAATTAGAGACTTGTGGCAAGTCTAACATTTATGATACTTAAATAGATTTCTTTTATTATTAATTTTTACATTAACTTCTTGATTTTTCTTGATCCATTTTTGCAAAAGTTAAGGTAAGGCCAAGGTTTTTGCGATAACTGAAGAAATTCAATAAGCCAATTTATAGTTTGAATGTGCATGCCTGTATCCATGGACAATCTTCAGGAATTCATGTTGTGTGTTTGTTTGTTTGTTTATGTCAATTGATCTTGATATGGGCATGCGCAGCTCAAACTACAAATTGGCTTATTGAAGTTCACAGCTTTGCATTTCAAATTACGATTGCGAGTACGCTTAGTGTAATAGAAAAGTTATGCTTTAAAAAAACCTTTCAACTTCCCACTTGTGGTTGTGTTGTTTAGGCATAATTTTTAATGAGTTATTCTGAGCGTATTTGTAATTAACTTTTAGGTGTTTACTGGAAATTCAGATCGAAACACTCATGTCACAAATATGTTCCCGACTCTTGTATACGCTCAGTTTATATATATATACATACATATCATATATGCATTATAACATATATACATACTTATGTATATATACACACATATACATATATACATACTTATATATATACACACATATATACATATATATACATAATATATAGACATATAT